ATGGCCGCAATAATGGCCTATTCCAAGCTCCGAAGGGACTAGGCTATAGTTGGATTTAACACCACATTCGCACATGACAGGAGATGCTTTGTAAATTACCCTTTCTTTCTTCTTTTCCTTAACCTTTGGTGGTTCTTCCGGCCATTGGTTCTTAGGACCATAAACCACTCCTTGAAATGACACTTTGCCATTGAAAACACCTAAATAAGGTGACATTAGTACATGAACACATATAGCTCAACATTTCAACACATACACTTTGCACTTACTTCATGCTTGTTTGGACACACAAACTCCAACGTATTCTCAGAGTTTATCACAGCTCGATCTCTACAATCGCACAGAGGAGATTCCTCGAGTCGTCTAACTATGGCTAAGTGCTTCTCCTTAGACGTCATAGGAGGCGGTTAGGGGGAGGTGGAACCCACCGCTCGAAGTGCTCTCGTGGATGTCGCTCTCTCCACCAATCATCGAAAAGGAGGTACCTGGGGTCAAACTTGTCTGCACTGTCGATCCACTGAAAGAAAAGGCACCTCTCATGGGCCTACACAACAAAATTCAAACAAAATATTAGTAACCTAGTAATACAAATGAAGAAAAAAACATACGAAAACAATTACTTACATTAAAATGACTGCATGTGTAGAAGCAACGAGCCGCTGTGTCTGGATGTCTCGATTGAAACACGTTGACCGGACGACCACAATCACAGTTAGGGATAGGGAGGTCAGGAGGGACGGGGGCATCTTTGCTAGACTCGTCGGGGTACAATTCTCTAGGACGACCCTGTTTTCGCCACAACTTCTCCCGAAACATGTCTTCCATCTAATAAAACGGTTCAAATTAAACATCAATCAAAACAACACAAATTAATGTAAAATATAATCATTTGCATTGCAACTCAAATAATATAACCAACACTTATTGCAACAAAAATATACATGGTAAACATACTTCTAACTAAATAATTAACCATAACATTGACAAAATCAAACTAATATCTTTCTCCAAACCATAGCCCATAGTTCCCAAACAAAATTTTCCTCCTAACCTTAACTCCCATTCATAATATTTCAATCCACCATTCAAACGACAATAAAAAGTGCGTCATTACCTTGAACGAGGCCGAGAAGGGAGGGAGGCGGCTAGGGAATGGAAGGGAAGGGAGGGAGGGAGGTGGCCAGGTAATGGAAGGGAAGTGAGGGAGGGAGGCGGCAACGGAGGGTCGGGCGCCGACAGCACTTGGGAGTGGCAGGAGGGCGTGGCGCGGAAGTCATCCACCGCGTTAAGGCAAACAGAGGGAGGGCGGCTCGCGGGCGATATTTACCTAGGATTGCCACGCCGTGAGGGATGGCGTGGCGGTGCCGTGCCAAGATCGGTGGCGCGGCAGACCCTGCCACGTCACCGGTCAGCGTCCCGGTCATCGCCACATCATCCCTCTCGCCGCGCCACCATGCATGGCACGGCCTAGGCGTTTCGCCGCGCTAGGGAAATAGGCGCGGGCAAAAGTGTTAGTTTTGGAAGAAAAAAAATAGTATTAGATTTAAAATTAGTTTACAAAAAGTGTTAAAAATAAAAAAATCAATATCTCAACCGCAGCGAGAATATTACAACTTGCTTGGGACTGAAATATTACAACTTGACCAAATATTACAATTTGCTTGGGATTGAAAGGCTATGTTGTTGTTGTTGTTGTTGTTGTTGTTATTGACCAAATATTACAACTATACCAGCGCATCTACGCGAACAACTGATAAAAAGCGGCTTAAGTAATGCAATCATCTGATATGGTACATTAAAGTTTATGCAAAAGGAAGACTAAACATGATCCATCAAAAAGATTTGATTTCAATGAATAACCTCAACTATCCTATGAGTCCGAGACTTCAGAAAAACAAATCAAGCAAGAATTTTATATAAGAAATGGGGTGTGCCTAAAAGTTGCAATTTGTGGTCATACAAGATTATCGTGTTTGAAATGATGATATAAGTTGGTAGGGGTTGCACCAAACGAAGAAAACCTTGTCCATTGAAATGGCATGGACATATCCCACAAATGCCTCTAGAATCACTGGTGCATAGAAGAATACTAAGGCGTGCCAAAATAATGTAAAGAGAGACAGGCTTCAACCTCAACCAAAATCTAACATAAGAAGAGTTTGTAAAGAGATACTTGACAGAATATCCCCAAAACATTATCCATGAATAGGAACACATGGAAATTTTACCATTATTACTATTACTTATACCTCATTATTATTATTTTAGTAGCGAACAGGTTTGTTGCCAAGTGGTCTCAGGAGCCTTAGTACGTAGCACCTCAGGTTCTGGGTTTGACTCCCCGTGGGAGCGAATTTAAGCAGGCCTAGGTTAAAAAATGCCCCTCGTTGACTGTGTTCCTAAGTTATGTGTGTAATACCCCTTGTTGGTTGTGTTCCTAAGTTATACGTGTAACCATCTGAGTCGCTTTTAGCGATATGCACATCGATGGCATGTCCAGGGCAGCTGGCTTTGGGGTAATGACGTGAGGGCAGTCTTTTCCCCTTGAGGTCGAGTTTTTTTATATATTTTAATGGTTGGATATTTACTGGGTTTAATCCCTAGCCTACCTCAAGTACTTTGAACAAAAAAGGCTCTGTTGGTGACTTAGTGTTGTACCTACCCATGCTGATAGGTGATAACTAAATATCCTACTGAGGTGGGATCAAAAACCCCAATTCATTTGTTTGCCAGATCAAATCAAATAGTTAATGCGTGTATACATCCAATGCTTGCACTCATGCCCTTGCATGGGCAAGCATTACAATAGTGAGCAGAACAATACATGTTATGTTTGTACAATTGTACCTACAACTGAATGTCCTTTCACCAGTCATTTTATTGATTACTCAGTTACTTGACTACATTAAGATATAGCAATCACTACCACTACAAAGTTACCATGGTTGATAGACACCGGGGCAGGGCTGCCGAGGCATGGGCCCACCGGGGAGCGGACCTGTTACTTGTGCTAGCATTCAATGCCACATGTTATCTGTCTGGAGCCTTTATAGCCTGTTTAAATCCACAAACTAAACTTTAGTTGGCTAGATTTAACTACTAGGGATACAAATGGTCTAGCTAAAGGCCAGCTAAAATTTAATTGAGTTTAGCTAATTCAACCCAGCTAAGTCCAGTTAAAGTTTAGCTGGGTCTATTAGCTCGAGGATCTAAATACCCCAGCTAAAGTTTAGGTAGAAGAACTTTTAGCTGGCTAAAATTTAACTTTGAAATTTTAGCAGACTAAATTTTAACTGGGTGGACCAAACATGCCCTTACCTATATTCATTTGGAAATCCACCTATCGGGGAGCGGACCTGTTTACCTGTCCTAGCATTCAATGCCACATATTACCTACACCAAAGCGTGTTCATTTGGAAATCCACCCACTCACAAAGCTCGGCCCGCCAGGAAGCAGGCCCACGAGGAGTCGCTGGGGCATGGGCCCGCTGGTGAGCAGCCGTGTGAGGACAGGCAGCCTTGGTGCAGCTGCACAGGGCGAGGCTGCCGCGACCACTTTGCTCGTGTGCCTCTCCGCCTGGACGTGCCCCGTCTCCGCCACTCTTTGCCCTCATCGTACTGAAGCGAAGAAGAGAGAACGGAGAAAGGAAGAGCCGAAGGGGATGGATGACACTCTCATGTCGTACGAACGGATAAGGCAGCAGTGTAGTACTAGTAGGATTTTTCTCCTAAAAAACATAAGTATTCTTTAGTCCCAGCACTATGATTAAACTGAAATTACTACTATAGTCAAATAATTAGGACAAATAGACAGGCACTATCGACATTTAACATCTTTTATTCATTTCAGAAAAATAAAAGAAATTGTTTTGCCAAGTGTTTTTAAAGAGCTTCAACTCCTTTAGAGACCGCTTCTTCAAAGAAGTCAGAACCAAAGCTATTTTTGAAGTACTCCTTCTATCTTAGAAAGAATACAATTTTAGCAATGTCATGTTTTAGCAATGTCATGTTTTAGTTTCTGGCGGGTTTGGGGGCAGTGGAACCGGCCAGGCCAGTTTGGCAACCGGGCAGGCTGGTTTGTCCGGGGCAGCGCCGTATTCTTCCGTTTCCCACCTTTTTGACCTGGTGCTTCGAATTATGTTGTCCCAAATATTTTCCAACACGTTCTTGATGTCAGAAACTTGATGGTGTAACCCGCATTCTATGTTGGCACAATTCTGCGTGTCAACAGACGTAAAACCAATATCAGTGGGAGTTTCATCTACATTTAATAGTTGACACATAAGCATTTTAGATGATATGACAATGTTTTTTAAAAAGAGAAGTGAATTTTATAGGGACTTAGTTCGATTTCCAACTCTAGATGAGTCATGAATTAAATGTGTATAAAGTGATTTTTTCATTGCGTTCTTTATTTTTGGAAACAAAGCTATGACGCTCTTCATTAAAAATGGCTAAAGAAAGTCAATGTAAAATCTTGCTTGTCAAAAAGAAATCTTGCTTGTGGATCGGTTTGATGAGAAGAAAGATGTTTGGAGCATCCTAGGCCAGTCTCGGTGGGAGTTTCGTCAAAATTTTATTTGTATGTAATAAATTGTCACATACGCGTTTTTGATGATGTGATAATATTTTTAAGATGAAAGAGAAGAAGTCAGTTTCACTTTTAAGATGAAATATAATTAAATATCTATGAAACAGAAGAATGAAACTATGCATTGAGAGGAATTATTTCATCCATATTTCATTGCATTATATGTTCTTGAAAACAACCAAATAAAACCCTCCACTGACAAGGATAACCCCACGTCCTTCGTAATCTCGGATTGGTGGTGCAACATTATATTGCAGGAGACGAGACGGCGTCACCGGCCGGAAGTGTTCATTTGGAAATCCACCTCCACCTCCACTATCCACCCACTCACACACAACTAATTAACTCGCAAGCTCGGCCGCCCGCACCGTCCCGGCCGGGATCTGTTCTTCGCCGGTCGCCTGGAGGCATGGAGGAGGCTCCCGTGACCGCAGCCACGGGGGCTCTGGGGCCTGTCGTAGCGAAGCTGAGCGCTTTGGTTCGCCGCCGCGGTGAGTACCAGCTTCGGTGCCGGACTCGGAAGGACGTGAAGCTCATCAGATCCAAGCTCAAGTCCGTCCACTCAATCCTTTGGGTGATATGGGAGAGGGAGGTTCTTGATGCGGCAGGCAAGGAGCTGAAGATGGAAGCGTGGCGTCTCGCCGACGACATGAACGACGCGATCGACGACTTCATCCTCAGTTTGATCAAGCGCAGCAACGACGGCAAGCGCTTCATGCAGGCCAAGATTCAGCCGAGCCCTTTCCAGGATCTCAAGAGAAGGGCAGTTGATGTGTGTGAGCGGTGCCGCAACAAATGGAAGACGGAGACTTCCCACACCACCTTCTCCAGCTTTTTTTCAAGAACAAAAACCACCGTCGACTCTGGCCCTGGCAAGCGGCGGACTCGAGTCGTTGATCCCTATGTCCACAAGGACATCTCAGAGCTCGTGCAGATGGAAGGACCGAGAGAGCTCATCGATCACCTGGTAGGAGAAGAGGAGAACACACCGCAGCTCAAGATGGCATGCATCGTTGGAGCTGCCGGGATGGGTAAAACGACCCTTGCCCGCCTTGTGTATGAAGCGATTCAAGATCAGTTCCAGGCTCGGGCTTTCGTGTCGGTCACTTCAAGTCGTAACATGACGGAGCTTCTGGTCAGCATTCTCCAACAAGTGACAGCTGATAGTACTGATGTACTACTTGCTGGCACCAAAGCATCGACCAAGAATAAACATCTCATCGGCATCATATCGAATTTCCTCAAGGATAAAAGGTGCGCATGTTCACCGCCTTCACTCCAATATCTACATCCACAAATACGATATGTACTAGCTATATCTTGCTATAACTAATTGAAAACAAACCTAGAAATAATCACAAAAAATGAAGCATTAAGCCATCAATTTGGTAGACTTTGATCGCTATATATAGCCATTGGATCTACTAATAAGGTTTCTAAAAAAGTCCATATTTGCCAATTTGAATAATAATAATAATGATAATAATAATGATGATGATAATGACAATAATAATGATAATAATGATAATCATAATGATGATGATAATAATAATAATGATAATGATAATAATAATGATAATGATAATAATAATAATAATAATAATAATAATAATAATAATAATAATAATAATAATAATAATAATAATAAAGAAGAAGAAACCTCTAGTTTTATGTCTAAATTACACACTTATGTGCCATTATGAAAAAAAAATCCTAGCTAAACCCGTAAATTTGCCTATAAATTACACACCTGTACCATTATGAAATATGTGAAATTGCTTCTAAATTATCCAATTGTCCATTACAAATTATAATAATAATCTAACTAACCACTTCAATTTGCATTTATTTTTGCACACCTCTACTATTATCTCTACATAATATTAAAGGGAGAAAGGTTTCTTGATCCGATATCACTCATAGGTCATAACAGTCCAACGGAGATCTAACAGACCCAGTCGCTCCCATGCTCGTATGACTTAGTGGCATGTCCTAGCATGGCGTGGAGTCCAATTTTAAAATGAGTTGGAATACAGAGTGTTTCTATGGTCTACCACTCCCTCTCATTTATGTATGAGTTAGAGCATGTTTGTTTAAGCATATGCAGAATCCTATCCAAAAATGAATTGAACGCATGTCACAATCATTGATAAATCTCTAACCTTCTGGTACTCATACGAGTTAGAGCACACATGTTCAGGCATAGTCTAGAGTTCAAATCCAAGACAAATTGAAATATGTGGCATAATCGTTGATAAATCTTAAGCCGCAAGTGTCTAGCTGACCAGCGACAAGTTGTACATCTTGTTGCAACAAACAAGCATGTATGCTATTAAAAATAAACTAAAATATCCCCTCGCATTTACTACTTAAATTACCAACATCAACTATCATGAAAAAAATAGACATAGAGTATGTACATATTTGTTTATGAAAACCCATTTCTAACACTATTAATATATAAAATACTAGCTGAAAGTAAAACTACATGTTAAGATGTCTTGCCCACTCACCGCAATTATTACGTGTTTTGCTCAACCATCTCCTTTAATGTGTTTCGCCCGTCTCTTTAAATTCCTGATGTAGTTGTAGACTAAAGTTAGAGCATTAGCGGTGGAAGAGGATTAGAGTTTGAATGAGACGTTGATTATATTCCTTCACATCACTCTACTCCATGATGTGCAATGAGCCGAACCCCAAATCTTAGTCACCACCACCCCTCCCCACCCTTCCTCACCTCGTCATTGCCAGAGCAGGGCACAATGAAGGCTCACATGCCACCTAGGAAGGCAGTGCCATGGTTTTCTCTCGGGCCCTGGCATAAGCCGAGAGGCTCTAGGTCCCCACACACTGACACAAGGTTAGAATCCGAGCTCTTCCAGAGTGGTATCTCACTGATGGCTCGGGCCCCCCCGGAAGGGGGCCTTCTTCGCCTTCCACCTAAGCTGCGCAGGAAAAGCCCAAAGCCAATCCCAGGGAACAGTAAAGCTTCATAGGGTCTTTCTGTCCAGGTGTAGGTAGTCTGCATCTTCACAGACATGTCTATTTCACCGAGCCTCTCTCCGAGACAGTGCCCAGATCGTTACGCCTTTCGTGCGGGTCGGAACTTACCCGACAAGGAATTTCGCTACCTTAGGACCGTTATAGTTACGGCCGCCGTTCACCGGGGTGACCGGGCCGGGATTCGGTGCGAGCCCGGGCACACGGTGAAGGTGGTGGCCACAAGTGTCAATGCACATACAATGGCTGCTTGACGCATTTCGGCTCTGGGGCAGATACAGTGGGCGTGAAACCGGATTTGCTCATGTGAGGGACGATAGCATGTCTTTGGTGATGTACTTATTATTTAGAGTAACAACTTACGAACTTATTGCCTTCAAGTATTAATATAATTTAAAGTGAGTTGTCATTGTCTTTGGGAGCTGTCAATGTGTTTGGTATGTGGTTTGTTAAAGGAACATTTTTTATGTTTATAATATTAAAAAATATTATCCCAATTTATGCATTTTTATTTGGTCTACACGGTAGCACATAGTATTACGCTTACTTTTAAATTTAACCATGGTAGAAATGTGTAATCTAAAAATGTATATAGCATACTTTATGGTTATTAAATTATTTTTCACAATAGATTACATTAGTATTTATACATTTATGTGAGGTAATTTAGTTTGTTTTTAAAGTCTAGATGTGGGTAATTTAGACATAAAGATTTTACTTAAGCATTAGTAATTTAGATGCAAACTTACGGGTTGCTTTGCATTATCTTCTGTAATGGCAAATTAGAGTAATTTAGATGGAAATGTAGGGAATTATATTTAATTATCTTCATAATGGTAGAGGTGGGTAAACTAGATGCAAATTTAGGAGGTTATGTTTAATTATCTTTCATAATAAAATATGTAGGCAAATTAGATCCAAATATATGAGTTATTTTATGCATTTTGGTAAGCAGAGTTGGGTAATTTTTTAGAAAACATGAAAGATCATTGATGATGATGATTAGAGTTCTATCAAATTAATCTGGAGGAGCCTTTGGAGCCCCAGTTACTAATAGTACGATGGTTATATGATGAGGTCCTGTCATCTTTTGTGATGTGAGCTTTCTCCTTGCTACATGTCACGTTTGTCTGTGTGTGCCCAATATTTTCGGAAATGGCGGCTTGAATCCGTAGTTCTTCAGCTTTTATTAATACCGGTGTTCACCTAAACTCGTTTAAATCGTCATCTACATGGGTGTAAACACTAAACTGCGAGTATACATGTAGTTTATGTCCAAAATAGTGAGTTAAAGAAAAATCACTTAATTAAATAACCAAAGGAGTAAAAAACCATTTAAACAATTTGTTTTAATGTGATTTAAGCACGTTTAAACACTAGTTGAGGTGTTTAAACGATGATAGAGAACCAACTTGATGAAACTTTTTGATATTAGTGTTGTTGTTAGAACTTTAATGTCTAATATAATATTATTCCGTAGCGACAAGTAATCATTTAACTATGTGAGAACTACATATCTACTATCTGTATCATTATGCCTGTCTAGTTGTCTATATCTTATTATGCAACTTTGTGTGTGCCTCAAGTCATATTTTTAAAATTTAGAATGGAATTATAGTGTTTGTATGCATATTTACTACTTCAATGCAAAGAGTTTAAATCGTCTAATCTATTGTCTACACTGACTAAGCGATAAACAAAAGGTTTCTAATAACCGTCTAGAGTTTAGCATTAAAAAACACCGATTAATACTCTTTAACCTAACCAATTATTCGAATCCTTTTTTAACTGTGGTCATGAAATTACCCCCACATATATAAAAACCTGCTTTTGAGCTAAAATTTAAGCACTATGGCCCTATCCGATACGTCTAATGAGCCGATGGGCCTTGCTAAGCTAAAATTTAAGCATTATGGTCCTATCCGATACGTCTAATAAGCACTATGGATCGCCCAAACAAATCTGAACCCTTGATTTTGTAAAAGAGAAAATAATTGTGTTATCTAAATATTTGGAAAAATGAAAAAAAACGTCAGTCACGCCTGTCTCCCTAAACCTGTTGGTCGTGTGTGCCCACAAGCTTCCATTTACCTACCCTCATACACACCGTGTATGTATCCACAAAGCCGGCCGGTTCGTAAGTTCGTTGCCCTGCTCCATATGTTTCATCTGTCGCTTCGTTGCCACGTCATGCAGCACGGACGTGCTATACGGGGGCGATGGCTAGTTGGAAGGCTGGAAGGACTAGGGGATCATGTATGTCACGTTTCAATAGAAGAACTACTAAACCAAATAACGTATATTGATCCATGCATATGCTAGATCTAATTACAAGATATTTTTACTAATATTTTCATACATTAGAAAATAAAAAGTAGCCATCTCGACACCTAAAAAGACTCTAAAGTCATCATTTACCTGGTGATACCAAATCTTGATCCCTGCTCACACGTCCTCATCTGATACGAATCATGCTCCACTCAGAGTTCACACGTTTGTGTCCTACCCGGTTATGATACGAAGACTAGATCCACAAGTCCGCGTCCGATACGAGAAGTCCCCGGAGCTCACGCGTCCACGTCAAATTACTGTGGTTCAATTTGAAAAATTGTGACCCCGGTGCAACGCACGGGGCATATATCTAGTGTAAAATATATTTCTCCCATTACCCTTGTGTGTGTATAAAGTATTCCTTCCGTCCCAAATTATAGGTCATTCCAACTTTCTTGAAAAATCAAAACATCTCAAGTTTGACCAAAATTATAAAGAGAATTATAAAGATTTATGACATCAAATAGGTATACTATGAAAATATAATTAATGAAGAATCTACTGATACTTATTTCGTATCATCAATGTTATTATTTTATTATATAAATTTGGTCAAACTTGAAATCCCTAATTTGGGACGGAGAGAGGAATATGTGATCCATAAAGATCTACATAAATGAATGGTTCGTAGTCACCTTGGAGTATTATTATAGCAAATCCCCGTAGTGACAGGACATGATGACTTGCCTGAGTATTCGGCACACAAGTTACACGTATGCATCGGGCCACCGTATATTTGTTGTGTTTGTGCTTGAATAAGGTCTTTTGGCTGGTTTGTTTGAACCCTGTTTTATATATATAATAAGACTCTATTTAAGTAGGTATGGTTTGTGACGCTATACTGTAGTATTTTCTTCTTCTTCTTTTTTGACGAACGCCGCTATACTGTAGTATTGGAAAGTGCTTATCTGCGATCGAGGCAGTGACCAATACAAGATGTACACAACATTGTCTTTGCCACGTAGTGCACTTAACAATATTGTCTCTTTTTCAACTTGTATAGGTACCTGGTTATAATAGATGACATCTGGCATTACGGAGAATGGGAAACCATCAAGAAGTCTCTTCCAGACAATAATCTGGGCAGTCGAATTGTCACGACGAGTCGTGTTAATGCTATAACCGATAGGTGGCGTGATGATTTTGATACGTTGGTCCACAAAATTGATTATCACTGTTATCATGAAGAATTAGCCTTCACCAAAAAAATGATTAATGCTCTGAGTGCTGACATGGTTGGAAAAGGTTTTGACCGTGGCCACCGTATTGTGGACATGTGTGGTGGTATACCGTTAGCAGTGGCTTGTATGATTTCGGCATTGGCAAAGGAGCGAGCGCGTCAAGAACAGCAAGGGCCGTGTGTTGATGTGCAAGAGAGGATTTTCAAACAAGTAACGAGAAATGGGATTCAGAACGCTCCAGGTTTTGAACCATTAGTAGAGAGTTTGGAGCTTGGCTACAACAATCTTCCTCATCATATGTTGAAGACTTGCTTGTTGTACTGCAGCATATACCCTGAGGGTCACAGTCTTAGAAGGGATGATTTGGTCAGTCGATGGATGGCTGAAGGTTTCGTTTGTAAGGAGGAGGCGGCAAAAGATTAATTTGAGGAGCTTGTCAACAGGGGATTCATTATAGATGACTCCCTGCACCCCATGATGCGAAATTACCTTAGATGCAAGTTGCGTGAACACAATTTCATCACTTGCAGTTCTGACATTCAGTCCTCTCCGGTCGGTCGGCTATGTATTGACGATTGGTCAGCAAGCAATGATGCAGTGGATCCCTTGTCAGGAATTGATGATTGGCATCATATCCGGTCCCTTGTCGTTTTTAAACATGCCGAGAGGGTACCCTACAAGCATTTGGAAAATCTGCGAGTGTTGGATGTTCAATGCAATCAGGTTCTTGAGAATCAACATCTGAAGGATATGTGTGGGCTGCTCCGTCTGAGGCTGCTCCGCCTTTGTGGTGATGGGATTAGTAAAATCCCAGCGGACATAGGGAGGCTGAAGTACTTGGAGACTTTGCAAGTGACTAAAACAAAGATCACAAGATTACCTGCTGAGATCGGTGACCTCAAGCAATTGAAGACTCTGGAAGTGACTCGGAACCAAGAGCTCGCAGAGCTGCCTAGGGAGGTGGGGAAGTTGCAGCATTTAGAGAGACTGCGCATCCATCGAACAAGGATCACAGACAAGGCCTGGGAGATCATCGGGACACTGAAGAAACTGAAGACTCTGGACGTGACTTGGAATGAGCTCTCAGGGATACCTAGGGACATTGGGGAACTGCGGCAGTTGAAGAATCTGGACTTGAGTTTCAACCTAAGGATCACAGATCTGCCCAAGGAGATTGGGAAACTGCAGAATTTGGAGACGCTGAACCTGGGAAAAACAGGGATCACAAAACTGCCCCGTGAGATTGGCAATCTCCAGCGGTTGCAGACTCTGTATTTGAGTCATACAGGGATCACAGAGCTACCCCGTGAGATCGGGAATCTCCAGCATTTGCAAGCTCTTTATTTGAATGATATTGAAAAAATCACAAAGCTGCCTCGGGATATCGGGAGGCTGCAGCATTTAGAGAGACTGCATTTACAGGGAACGGGTGTAAAGAAGATACCGAGGGAAATCGGAGGACTGAAGAAACTGAAGGATCTAGATGCGAACATCGGCACACTACCCTTTGAAGCTGGCCAGCTATCAAAACTGGAGGGATTGCCCAAGTGCGTCCACAAAGCATGGAAGAATAGTGACCTGGTGTCATCGCTGTTCGGGGAGATCCTGTCGTTTCAAAAATCAATTTATTTGATCGGTGATGGTGGACTAGTCGTCGGCACCAAGCACATGCACATCCCGCGGTGGATCAAAGAGCACTTCAACAATATTAGCACCTTGGATATCAGGATCTGCAAACTAGAGGAGGAGCAGGATCTCAAGATTCTGCGGGAGATGCCCTACCTTTGGGACCTCACGCTAAGGTTCGAAGCTGTCCCGAGAAAGACGATAGTCATTAGCAGTGGAGGATTCTCAGAGCTCCAGATCCTCACTGTTGACAGCCGAGTGCCATGGATTACCTTCCAGGAAGGAGCTATGCCGAGGCTGGAGCACCTTACGTTCGAGTTCCAGTTCTACGGTGGCCCACCAAATACAGACCCCCCTATGGGTATCAAGCACCTCGTGCGCCTGGAAGAAGTCAGCTTCCAATGCAACAAATGGTATCGAGGAGACAGCCCGTGCATCAGCACCACGATCGACGTCGTGACAAAAGAACTGGGGTGGCCAGCTAGTGCGGAGAGTTCTGAAGGTAGCAGTGAGGCTAGCAGCAGTGGGACTGCGGAGAGTTCTGAAGGTAGCAGTGAGGCTAGCAGCAGTGGGGCGAATGAGATCGAGAAGATAGTGGTTTTGCGGAGGCCAGCTAGTGCGGAGAGTTCTGAAGGTAGCAATGAGGCTAGCAGCAGTGGGGCTGCGGAGAGTTCTGAAGGTAGCAATGAGGCTAGCAGCAGTGGGGCTGCGGAGAGTTCTGAATGTAGCAATGAGGCTAGCAGCAGTGGGGCTGCAGAGAGTTCTGAAGGTAGCAATGAGGCTAGCAGCAGTGGGGCGAATGAGATCGAGGAGATTCAAGCTTAATTCATCACATCTTGCCTCAGTATTGCCTAAATATATAAGGTAACCTGTGTGGCACATGTAAAGCAGTACCATTTTGCTAACAGAACGCCTAAACTAATAGCCGCTTCTTTTCCTACCTTTGTTACTGTGGCAGGTCATTGATCATTAGTACAAGCTGGAATCTTCGACTACACAGACCAGTGTTCCAGACTTCCACGTTAATTTGCTTGCTGCAGATTCTCTACCCCAAAGGCATCCACATCATCACTATTCACTACACAAGCTGGGAACACCATTCTCCGTATTCAGGAAGATGCATCCCAAGCTTTTCTATGTCCTGTGCTAATATTTATTATTACAACCAATTTATTTTTTGTTTGTACAAAATGGAACATATTGTGGTGTGTTTTGTGGAGTTGTTTGAAACCTATGTTGTTTACTCAGTTCTGAGTCTTCAATTTGTTGTAATAAAGATTTGTATAAACTCTAAAGCAGAATTATCAATTTGTGGTGTATTTTGTGGAGTGGTTTGCCATACCTATGTTGTTTACTCAGTTCTGAGTCTTCAATTTGTTGTAATAAAGATTTGTATGAACTCTAAAACAGAATTATCAATTTGTGGTGTGTTTTGTGGAGTGGTTTGCCATACCTATGTTTACTCAGTTCTGAGTCTTCAATTTGTTGTAAAGATTTGTATGAATTCTGAAGCAGAATTATCATCTCGTGTCATACATCCTGATATATCTTGCATATCTGCAGTACATGTGTATATGATCCTTTCATCTGGTTTGCGCTAGCTGGTGCTGCTTTATTGTGAGAAGAAAACACTGTTGGCTGGCTGGTTTGGGCTGACTAAAACCAACAAGCGAACAAGCTGATGAATTAGGCAAAAGAAGGATTAATTTCAAGACTAGGCAGGTTGTGAAATGCTGTTCCCAGAATGCCGTACGCCTCAAGTCCTCATACGCCACACACCAATGTATAATGCAGCCATCATGATTGAATAGAAACTTGCTTTTAAAATATTACTGCATTCCTATCAGTATAGTAATCCAGAAATTAGTGGAGATCGCATGTTTATCTTTTACTTTTGTTGAACATATGAAATATAGGCAGCAACCCACAACTGGCTAACACGACCGGGGATGTAGGTTGCCAGGTGTCAAGTCCATATTTGTGAATGAAAATCGCACAGGCAAATACCACAAACCAGCACGGCTGACATTTTTATTTCTGCTCTTATTGTGGGTTTACACATGACACTCGATCTACAGACCCGGGGCTTTTACAGTATTCTTTAACCTTTACACAGCAGAATGGGCACCGTCATATCTAAATCTTGGTAATTGGATGTTTTGAATGGGCATGCATGGTGTGGTGTCCGACAAAAGAGCGAGCGAGCACACTAGTATCATGGCCATGCATGGAGTGCTGCTGTGCCTACCGATCCACCTGGACAACTGGTGGCCATGCATGGGTCTATGTCCAGAGGAGTGAAGCTTTGTAGAGTGGGGGTAGGGTCCTTGGCGTCTCACTTCTGCGAGGTGGGCATGGAGAGGGAGACCCGCTGCGCTGGTGACTCCTTCCACTGCTGCGTGATCGTCTTGATCTGGGTGAAGAACTGCACGCCAGCCTTGCCTGACATCCCACGCCATCGTGTTAGTTACCCAGGCATATAATGGCTTGCGATGACGTCAGTGCCATTGTGACTATTGGGAAAGGATCAAGTGGTGTTAAGCTGAGAAGGGTGTACCGTAGAAATTCAAATCTCCTGCAAATGAAGCTTTGCTGCCCGTGAAGGAGAAGAATGGCAGGGGAACTGGAATCGGCACGTTGATGCCCACCTGCAAATGAAACCATAAGAATGTTATGAATAATAATAATCCATGCTGCATGACTCAATTCATTTCTTCTGGTTCCTAGTTTTATCAAATTCAGAATGGAACCATTCCTTTCCTTTCTTTTCTTTTCTTTTCTTTTCTTTTCTTTTTCAATTAGCATATGCAATCTGGTAGGTCTTTGAAATGACAGATACTATACCTGGCCAGCTTCAATGTCTGTTTGAAATTTCCTGGCAGAGACACCAGATGTTGTAAATATGGAAGCCCCATTGCCATACCTGCAGACAGGGATGAATAAATATTTATACTATATTTCAAGGAATGCTTCAGATCTACAAGCATAGAGGAGAAATATATTACTTGTTTCTGTTTATAATTTGGATGGCATCATCTAGGCTGTCTGCCTGAAATTTTGAGAGAAAAAAAAAAGGGTCAGTAGTGGCAGCACAGCATAACCTATTGATGCTGAATGGAAAAAGGAAATTCAGCATACCTTCATTAAGAGAAGCACTGGACCAAATATTTCCTCCTGTTTCAGTAAGTTAACAAGGTTCAATCAATATACCATCATCAAGATGAGTTTCCTTGATTTATTTAGGGAATGACTTGCTAACTAACAGCAATATTTTACCTCCAATTTGTACAATCTTTCCAAGTTTGTTTTTGAGATTTGAGAAAATACTTAATTTCGGTTAGACTCTTCACACTGCTTACAAAGTATGCAGCAGCTACCACTGACACTGAGAAATAAGAATAATCTTCTGATGAACTGTTAATTAATACATGCATATGTGCTTTCACCACCGCAAAAGGATAATCCGCTTATGGGGATTTTGGCAAGCAGTGGCTTGAAGGTGGAAACTAACACGATTGCAGTTTGACATACACATTATGCAAAATAAATGATTTGTGACCCATTGTGGGGTGCTGGGGAACATTAATTCTCCAGTCATAATCACATAAAATCAGAGATAATGTAAAATGGTGCATCAGCAATATGTCTTCCGTCAACAATTCAGAATGTGTATTTTCACAATGGATAATGGCTCCCAATAATGGTTGTCAACTGTCGAACATATTCAAGGTTTGCACTTCAATTTGAAACCAATTTACCTACAGTGCACTCCATATTTTAATTCTTGAAAGATACGGACAGCAGATCCTACAAATAATTCTGCTTCTCCATGACCCTAAATCCTAAAACTGAGATGAAAAGTTAAATTTCATTACCAATTTCTGAAAACTACCTTGTAACAATTCATGTCACTTTTAACATCAGCCAGAATGGTTGGACCAACAAAATTTCCATCTTCATAGTGAGGAACCTGCACATTACAGAGATTTCAGGTTAACAAGGTGTAGTAGAACTGCAGGCAGGCTAATAAACAACTGGATTATTGAGATTACCACAATCTTTCTTCCATCAAGCAATATACGAGCACCGCTGTCAACACCACTTTGGACTAACTTACAGATACGATCCTTAGCCTGATTTTAGTGAATGTTAGCAGAAAAGAAACAGTGAAAACCCAAAGGCCCTCAATTACGAAGCTAGAAACTTCATGGTAGTGAAGCAAGACTGCAAGATAAGAGATCCCCGCAACAAACAGAAAGTTCATTTCGATCAGCAACCTAGTAACTGCAATAATGGTATGAATCCCAAGGTGATAATACTTTTACAACCAAACACAAAAGATAGTATACTTCAGTCATTCAAACATACTAACAAGACTGGATAACTCGCATATGACTATATGCCAGAAAAACATTCTATGATCCTGAATCCTGAACTAAGTTGAGGCCAGAGATCAACTTCGATACTAGGTGTTTAAGTACTAAGCAAAGTCCACACTATGATAAAGTAATGTCACTCACTAATCCCCAAACCAATTAATTTTAATATGATAGGTCCATCTCAGTGTTAGCACTGATTACCACCTACCAGTAGAATTCTTGAAGGGCGTCAAGAACCCTGTTTACACTTTCACAGTCACTTTTTGACTACAAAAACAGCCCCTGGACTTTACTCTGGTAAAACAAAGGTCTTTGTGTCCCGTCCAAGTTCAAAAGGGTAAATCAATGAATACCATATTTATGTGGATCTCCTTTTTACCAATATTTACTCATCAAGGTCCAAAGTCCATATAGTCCGATCATTTTCAGTTTGAGGAATGAGGATGCAATGTATTCTCCTCTTAATCCCTTTCAATAGTCAGATTATATGGGGGAAAACAGCTCTTGTATTCGGGAAAAACAGGTACTTCTATCATTCTATGACTAACATTCACAAAGTTATTGACAGTGTATCCACAAGTTGCATAATACAAATAACATAAATTGTGAGGCAGTCCAAAAGATACCTGTCTGCTGATCACTGGACCAAGGTCTGCATCATTAACCATTCCTGAATTAACAACAAGGCCACTTGCACGTTTGATTAATTCATCCTCCCTAGGACAAATTTTGGTTAGTTGTGCTACCTCGGAAGAGAATATACTAAAACTTATCTTTAAGGAAAAAAAAAGTATGTATACCATGATTCTGAACCACCAACAAAAACAGCAGTGCTCAATGCCATGCACCTTTGCCCTGCTGCACCAAACCCAGCAGCAATAAGGGCATTCAATGTAGCATCTCTATCAGCATCAGGAAGGATAATTGCATGATTCTTTGCTCCCATATTGCACTATAAAGAAACAGAAACATATGTTGTGGATCATGCTACTTACAACAAGGTAGAAAATTAAAATAGTTTTGACTGAAAGTAAGCAGAGATAAAAACTCACCTGAACACGCTTTCCAGCTGCAGACGCCCTAGAATATATATGCATACCAGCCTGAGACAGAAATCACAAAGTATTGCTCAACTGAGATTCGAGAAAAGGAAGGGACTACCTTTAAGCACTAGAAGCATCATTATTCCAATGTAGTATATGCTTGTAAATCTAATGTAAAATGTTCAACTAGGTTTGTAAATGCATCTTTATAAATATATTGTGACAACACATTAATGATGTTAACATAAATACAATAACAGAAATAACTGTGTAAATGCATAGCTCTTATTGGGATCTTGATAAATTCAAAATAGATAAATTATGCCAAGATCAAAATTGATTAGATTTTGGAGCATTACGATAATGGTGATTCAAAAGATTAGACATATGAGACATGTTTGTGAGCAGTCCAATGGTTTTTTAATAAGGATTAAGGATTAATAACTTCATGACATTCAAAGATGAAAAGGAAAAGGTTAAAGGATCGTTTGTACATATTATGCAGAACAAAATATACACCACATTATTGATGCAAAAAATGTACAACAAATAGAGAAACAGATGAGTCACTAGAATCACTTACTGTATTGGAACCAACAAAAGATACAGCCTTAATATCCTCATCGTCACAAATATTGTTGACAACATCCTGCATTGATAAAGTGCAATTAGAACCAAACAATCTAACAGATATGAAGTTCAGCAGAATAAATTCATTACCATTATTTTAAAAAAGAGGAAAAAAATATAAGATCAAACAATCCTACAGAGTACATTAGGCAGCGCCACAGCATTGCCCAAAAATTGGCAGTTGTCATGTCTCATGTGTACACTACCAACACCAGCAATACATGACAACTGAGAAACATATTACCGAAAATAGGAAGGTAGCTAAGAATACCATACATTAGTACCATGAACAATGTTCAAAACACCCCTTGGCAAACCAGCTTCCATTGCTAGCTCCGCAAGCATCATAGCAGCCCCTGGAGTAGTATAACAATTAAAAAAACGGAGCACACCGTAAGATTTCCAATCCAAATTAGTCGAACTTAAAGCAATTTCAAGGACTTTGTATAGTATTTGCTACTTTGTAATACATCATCTTCAGCTCTTCCTATTTCATTAATGTATCAATGCTATTACATTAATTAAATAAGTGTCATACTGAGAGTAACTCAGTTTCCATTGTTCAAAAGAACTGCAGTGCAACCTATAATCTACATTTAACCCTTTCATGAACCAGTGTGGTAAGCAGCTCTCTGCTACCAGAGAAATCATTTTCTTCGATATCTTATAACACTTGTGCAAATATTGAATTTGGGTGCAAGAGATACACACCACATATTAAAATCAGTACTCATATTCATAGACCCTACAGTTAAAAAATAATATGTGCATATGATTTTCCCTAATTATATGTAAAGAAACATGCAACTTAATTACTAATCTGCAATGGTAGCTAAGCAAGTAAGCATACAGCCATGTATATTTTTCAGGTTTTAGTTCATAGATATCATGATGATAACAAATTTTGTCAAGGAACTAGATAAAGATAAAAGGATCTGCCCAGTGACTAGTTGTCTTGGCAATGAGGCATGCAGGGAATGCTTATGCTGCTTGCTGTCTGTCTTAAATAAAGATCGGAACTAGTTGAATGTAAGACCATATTTTATTAAGTAATTGATAAATGTTGATGATAAAGTAAAAAAAAATCACCTGGGTCCTTTTCCGATGGTTTAAGGACAAAAGTATTGCCACATGTCACCGCTATGGGAAACATCTGCAGCCATTGGAGAGAAGAAACATTCAATGTGACCAAATCTATTCTCTTGAGTTGAACTATTTCAATGGAAAATAGCAGAAGAAACAATGACAGCGTCTGGAATAGTATGCTCATGAAAACAGCACAGGTCATGTCCTATATATTGAAGTACGAATGTAAGGTATAACTGTCACATAGTTCAAATGATCAATGGTGCCAGCCTTCTATTACAAACAATTTGACAGGCAAGAAAAGGTCAGGTTAGGCATACCCATAGGGGAATCATAGCAGGAAAGTTAAATGGGCATATCCCAGCGCAAACACCAAGTGGCTCCCGAATGCTGAAGGTGTCAATCCCATTAGAAACATTTGATACATATTCGCCCATTTGCAATGTTCCCATTCCACAAGCATGCTCCACCACCTCTACATGATTAGGAGTTCAAAATCAAAGAAGTACAATAAATGGTCAACATAAGAAAGAGTTCTATCACAGAAAAGGTGTTCAAGCATATGAGCAGAGTATTTTGTACTGCAATAAATAAATCAGCAGTAATATTGGCTTTTCATGCAATCTAGATGTGGAAATCATGAGGCCACAACCACATGTGAGACTACACAAATAATGACAAACATCTATGAGTAAGCAAGATTTGTGTGCCTGCTGTTGCAAAACTAGGGTCTGAATTCAAGTGATGAATGAAATTTTCTTTTGGGCAAAATGGAAACTTTAAGATAATTACTCCTACTGTCTAACCAAACAAGAAAACCAATTGCGTGCTTCCAATAATCTAGGAACTAACCTAGACCGCGGAACACGTCACCCCAAGCATCTTTCAGCGTCTTCCCCTGCTCCGTAGTGATGTTCTCTGCAAGCTTGTCCTGTAATCAGGATTCAGGAGGCAACGACAGTCACGAAAACAAAGACCAGATAACATCAGGATGACACGATAAGGACGTTAACTGAACAAGCAATCACCATGTTAGCCCGGATGAGCTCCTGGAACTTGAACATGACGCGCTGCCGCGTTGTGACGGGCGTGTTCTGCCACCCTGCGAAGGCGGTCCTGGCGGCATCGACAGCAGCCCTGAACTCATCGGCCGTAGTAAGCGGGATCCGCGACACCACCTCCTGCGTGGCCTGCGACACCCCCACCCCAAATGCACGCGTCACACATCCACCGTTGACCGTTCCGAAATCAATTCGATCAGCCCGAAATCAAAAACCCATTAAGAGGGGAGCAGGGCTCACGGGGTTGGTGACGTCGACGTGCTCGTCGGCGCGCGACTCGACGAACTCCCCGCCGATGAGGAGGCGCACCCTAGGCTGGGGAGGGAGGGGAGGGGAGGCGAGAAGCGGGACGCGCGGTCAGTCCAGCGGGAACCGATTGGGGGGACGGGGAGGAGCCGCGGGCACGTACCGGGGTGGAGGCGGGGCCGTTGGAGAGCCACGCTGCGGCGGAGGCGGAGGCGGAGGCGGCGGTGGAGAAGGGGGCCGCGCCGGCGGCCATCGCCGGCGACCGGCGGAGCCCGGGGGCTGCGCGCGTGCGGGAGGGTCAGTCACTCAGTCAGTCAGGGAAGGGAAGGGAATGCCCCGGCGCGACGGGGTATGGTTGGGCCGCGCGCGTACCTGAGCGGAAGAGCGCCGCGCGGAGCATGGGTCGATCGGCGGCGGCGGCGGCGCTTCCGGATTGGGGCGCGGAGTGGCGTGGCTTGGCGTCGGAGGACGAGCCACCGGCACCGGGTGGAGTGGTTTGTTGGACTCGTTGGTGGGTGGCTGTGATGGATGTCGTCGTGGCTGTAATTCTGCCGCGCGTTCGGCTGGGCTGGGCGGAGGTGACGGGACGGCGGCTAGCGTGATGAGTGTGCAGTGCGTCAGTCGGTGTCGTGCCTATCGGAATCGAGATCAGCCGAGGAGCAGCGCCAGTGCGAGCTGACGTTGCCGGACCTAGGAGTAGCGCGAGTATTTTTCTCCGATCATGAAACCCGGGACATTAGTTAAGGCCTTAAGGGCGGTAAAAAGAATCAATATCCGGATGAAACAGCGTAGAAAATTTGACACGGATATATACGTTCTGTACCCCAATCGGGCGCACGCTTTCCTACTGCAAAGCCACATTTTTTTTTTCCCTGATAACTAACAATGGCATCAGTTCTTGAGTGTGTAATTTAACATCACAGTAACTAGACTGGCTCCATTATACTGATTAGTGATCGTCGCACCCAAACTAATTTTTTGAGTTGCTTTAGGCCCCGTTCGGTTAGTCTGGATTGCCATAGGAATTATTCTAGATGATGAAAGTTTATATAAGTTAGAGAAGCAATCCAGCTATGAATCGTTCCAGGAGACAAAGCTGTGATAACCGAACGAGCCCTTAGGAATACTTTTTTTTTGAAAGGTGCTTTAGGAATACTGATTTGGGCCGCATCCGACATTATCAACTAGAGTGTGGTATTGGGGTTTGCTCTACTGCTCAGGTTGCTACCTTTTAGAGTTCTCAAACATGGGTTCTAGTACAAAAGGTATGAATCTTAGAGTGCAAAGTTTTAGTTACAAAGTTTATACAACGTGCTAGTATTTCAGTACAAAGGTCAGAAATTTGAGGTACGAGTACGATACAAAGTTTTGGATCTTGGAGTACATTGAAATAAGGTAGCAGAAAGTTTGTGAATTAAGAGTGCAACATTTTGAAACTAAGAGTTTCAAATCTTGTAGAAAATGTCTAAATTCAAAATGTGATTACAAAGCTTTAGATTAGAAGTACAAAGTTTGGAATGTGCTAGCACAAAGTACAAAGTTGTTGAATTTGGAGTTCATAACTTTCTGACAAGTGACTTAAAAGATCCTGAATAACAAAGTTTAGAATTACAAAGTTGTGGATCTTAAAGTACAATGTTTCAAATTTGGTAGCATAAAGTTCCTAAATTTGGATTGTGAAATTTGAAATTACAAAATCTTTAATCTTAATTACAAAGTTTAAAATGTGCTAGTATAAAGTTCCTAATGCAAAGTTTATAACGTTCTAGTGGGGGGTTATTAGGGTTATGAAGTTTGGGAGTTGAATTTTATTCTTTTGGGTGGTAAGAAGCACAAAAATTTCCTTTTGTTTTACCAAATACTGCTAGCACATAAAAGTTAGTGAATTCATAGCGCAAAAGCTTTTAGTGTTTATAAGGTTCTGAAGTCTGTATTACAAAGTTTCGAATGTTTTGATTCCAATTTTGTGTGCAGTCCAAATTTATAAAGGTTCTGAAGCATTTTTTTTATTTACAAAATCTTACAACCATGATGGAAAGTTTTTTTCATTCACAAAGTTCAAAGTTCCCAGATGCAGAGTACAGAGTTTCTGTGATCTTAAAGTTTTGGTTATGCGTGTACTCAATTTTTAGATGTTAGTAGAAATTTTTCTTCATTTCAAAGGCAAAACTTTTCTATTACAAAGTTTTTAAACCTTTTAGTACATAGTTTTTGGCAATGTCTTATGAAATTTTTCATGTATCATAGAAAGTTTTTTAGTTTGTAGGTTTTTGATACATAGGCATGTATCGTCTTAGTTGGAAGGCATTAATCTATGACTACGAAGTTTTGAGTTTAGATTCACTAAGTTTCAAATAATTATTATATAGAAATATTTTTGTTCCGCAAGCTGAAATTTTTTATGTAGTGTTGTAATAAATTTTTCCATGTTTCTCTCTATTTTTCAGGCCTAGCTTGCTAGCAACTCCTATAACTGAAGAGCAATTGAGACACATGTCCCATTTCTGTTCTTCACTTGGCGGTATTTTCATGTACCGATGTAAAGCTATGCATTTTTATACTTTATGGACATGTTGCATGTTATTCTTTTTAATCTTACTAAAGCAAGACTAAAGCTAGTTTTCAAAAAAAAAATTATTTTTAGGCTCTGTTTTGTTTTGTTTTCGATATTGGTTGAGTAATTTCAATTTCACAAAGTTGAGTAACAATTTTAAAACATACTTCTACATCCATATATATATATATCTGGAAACAATTCCTCCCGAAGGAGAAGTAAAAAGCTCTAGAAATGCATCTGGGCCTAATAAAAAAAACTCAAATATGAGAATCAAAAGCAGCCCAACAAAGTTTCAAAAAATAAGGCAGCCCAAATAGAATAGAAAATGGGTCGAATCTTCGGGGATGTAGACAGGTAATCAGGCAAATAGGCATATGGGCTGAAGCGTCGTTAGTTTGTTATTTGTTACGTGTATATACAGTGCCAGAAGCTAGACAGGGGAACGGACGCTTTGAAGGAAGCCGACCCCGCGATGGATCACGAGGGAAATGAACAGCGCGTCCCTAACCCTCCGCAACGCGTACGCGTCGCTACCCCTCTCAGCGCGTGCGCGTGCGCGTCGAGTACCGTACCCGTACGTGAACATCACCTTCCAGCCTCCACCGTAAAAAGAAAAATATTAGTCTCTTCGTTCTAAATTGCACGTGGCTAGCGCCCAGACGTCCGAACGGACACACGAGCATCCTGCCTCTGTCCACCTCGCTTCGACTCGAACGCGCACCCTGCCCTCCCTCCCCGACTGCGCCCCGCTCCTTACCCCTGACGGCCTAACCCCCTCCTCTCTCTCCACGTGGGCGGGACCCAAGAGCCAGCCCTCAGCTCTTGATTCTCATATTTGAGTTTCCAGATAAAACACTTACCAAATGTGTGTGAAACATATGCAACATCCAGATAAAACATTTGCTACAACATACGTTTGAAAACAGATAAAACATTTTTTTAAAACACTTGCAACATACCACTTAAAACACTTATAAAAATATGCAACATGTGCAATATACCGATCCACTTTTGCAACATCCATATGTAACAATTGTAATATACATTTAAAACATCTGAAACACTTCAAACATATATTTGCAACATATGGGAGGGAAGGCCGAGGCAGGTGGATTCCGGTTGCCGGGTGGGTGGACGGGTGGCGTTGGGATGGCGGCATTGAGCGATGTAGGGACATAGTACTTGCGACGACCGAGAGAAGGCAGCGGGCACAGATTGAGCGTCTGGAAGAAGATGCATATGACGCTGACCAGTAGGCCACACTGATGATTGGTAGGCCACGCTGATGATTGGTGGGTCACACTGACTGGGTGAAGAATCCATCCATCCCTCTTCGTCAGTCCCTCAAGCCAGACTAAAAATTGAGAAGGATCTATCCCTCTTGACCAAACAGGAGATGAGACGATCTCATCCGAAAAAACAGAGATAGAATCATCATCTCATTCCATCTTGTCTTCGAACCAAACATATGCTAAATAATTTATGAACCTAGTCAGTGTCAATGACAAAATAGCCAATAAACTTTAACGTGGTTTGCCGCCTCTACAAATACATGCTCTCTTACATAACAAAACACTTAATATTGAATCATTTCGGAACATGTTCGTGCCCGTGCGTTGTTATGAGACAATTAATTTTTTTTACTACAAACACACGGATCGCACGATAAGATAACAATACTGTAAAAATAAATACCGATGTTAAAGTGACATTTAATCCAAAAGGCAAAGGTCATGGAGAGCGCAGCGTCGCAGACTCGCAAACTGTACTGTATAGATCTTTTCATGACGCGGCTAAAATAATATTTTATATCGGTAGAAAGAAATCTCTGATATCTTTTTTTTGCGCAAAATAAATCCACGAATAAGTTTCGCCACATCTCCATACCATAATGTGTAGTATATATATGTAAATATTAGTGTCTGTCACATGAGTAATACTGTGTCTTAAAAAATCTCTCACAAAACATTAAAATAAAGTAAGTTATACTCACCGTATAAATATATGTGGCTTAGGTCCTGTAAAATAAGGTATCAACTCAAGTGTCTTTGGCAAAATTCACCATCAGCAATATATAGATAATTAAATCATAGGTATTATTATTACAAGCGATGGTGACTCTGAGTTAGTAATAGTTAAATATAGCAATGTTTTTCTTGCTGATGAATTTCAATTTGAAGATATCCTCGTTCCATCTAGAAATATTATTGCAAACGATAGTGAACATATTTTTAACATGTTAATGTCGATGTTTGACCACCGATAGCCTGCCACGGGGGTACCCGGGGCAGTATGTTCGGGCTTCAGCGTATGCGGAACTCGACGATGAACGCAAGAGACAGTCGATTTATCCTGGTTCGGACCCTCGATCGCTCATCGAGTAATAGCCCTACGTCCAGTCGTTGTTAGCCCTTGCGTTGGATTGATTGTCTGGAGTTGTGTCGTTACAGTCGTAAAGGTTGTGATCCCCGTCTCTAGAAACCCTGCCCTCTTTTATATAGTCAGGAGGTTAGAATCCTAGTCGGTTTACAATGAGAGTTTCTAGTAGGATTACAGAATAATACTATTACTAGGATTACATAGAAAGAATCCTAGTTAGACAAGATCTTCTCCCTTCCTTGCGGGGCATCCCATGGGTCCAGCACCGACAAGCCCTCGAGCACTTCATGGTTGAGCTCTGTAAGCCTCGTCTTGTTCCTTCAGGTCTTGCCGAGCAGGAACAAGCGTCGTCCAGGTGCTTTCTTTAGCGAAACCGTGTAGCACTTCATGAGATCTTCGCGTGATATGTACCTTTTTAAAGAAAAAAGTACTCCCATTTGGGTGTAGCCCCTGAGCCTCTTGCT